GTTCAAGCTCAAGTTGCTTCCAACACAAGACATTAGCAGTAAAATACTTCTAACTCAGACCAAACATGCTCCAAGTATTGTTCATGGTTAGTTCATGCTTGTAGGGCAGTCGTGGCCTAATGGTTAGAGAGTTGGACTTGTAACCCGAAGGTACCATGACTGAGGTGAGGCCCTTGAGCAAGGCACCGAACCCCCAACTGCTCCCCGGACGCCACAGCAATGTGGCTGCCCACTGCTCCTGGTGTGTGTTCACTCTGTGTGTGTGTGTGTGTGTGTGTGTACTTGGATGGGTGGATGGGTTAAATGCAGAGCACAAATTCCGAGTATGGGTCACCATACTTGGCCACACGTCACTTCACTAACTAATATAGTAAACTAATGTTAACAAATATAACCTTACTGTAAAGTGTTACCCAAATAACTTTCTATTCACTTTTCTGTTGGTTGGTTGGTTGGTTGGTTGGTTGGTTGATTGATTGATTGATTGATTGATTGATTGATTGATTGATTGATTGATTGATTGATTGATTGGCTGGCTGGCTATGTTCACACTTCCAGTGTGAAAAACGGTTTAAAGTCAAGCATCTTGCTTCCATTCTAGAGGAAAGAAACTCATAGATAGCTGACAGTGAAAAAAAGAAATGCAAAAGTAAAAGTGTTGCTTTCTATAGAAAGAACGCTATTACTGTAGTTATTTCTTATAACGAGTAATTGTTGCCATTTTTCATCAAATTCTATCCACATCCAGTTTATAGCCCAATAAACTATCTAATGTGTTTCTGTTTGTTTTCCTCCAAGGAATTCTAGGTAGGGATGCATCGGTATCGGGCCCGATACTGGTCTCCTGTACTCGTACTCGTACTCGTTAAAATGCCCCGATACCAAACGCCGATACCAGACAGCATGTGATAAGTGCCATATTCAGACAAAGAAACACCGACAACAAAACAAAAGACAGCAGAATGGAGTTATTAGAGATTAAGGATGTATAGGAAGTATATGTATGAAATGAATATAATGTTAAACATTCAGTATTAACGCCTGTATAGCTGATGTGCGCGAGCTGATAAGCAAATTGAGCGCGCGACGGCGCAGATGCGCAAGCTTGTCGAGTAAATATATCTTTCTCACAGACATCACTGGAAAGTTTGTAGTTCGGTCGGATACGTCAAAAACAATTAAGTAAAATAATGCACAAGTTACTTAACGGTAGAGAGAGAGAGAGCGAGAGCGCGGGAGAGAGAGAGAGAGAGAGAGAGAGCGCGCACTTCTGTTGTGTGATCTTTGATGTTCACTCACTTAGCACACACATCATTTGGATTAAAACTAAATCTTAAAAATAAGACCATTTAATGCTCTAATGCTATTCAATTAAAGATGATGTATCACAGAGCAAAAATATTAAGAGTGAAAGTAACAAAAACTTGTAAAATACATTTTAATGGCCATAATTGAGTGTAAAAATAACTGAAGGATATACAGTCAAACCAAAACTGATTCAGAGACCAGATATAATTTTAGATTTTTTTTTTAGTGGGTGCAGGACACTATAGTTCATTTATGTAAGTGAGGAAAGCAAAATAAAGTAAACTGTGATACATTATACCCAAAAATTCTTCATACAGTGGAATACCAGTAAAACTGATAAAACATTTGGGACCAAAAATTATTCAGACCGAGTTTGGGAAAAAAATTGAAGTTGAGGTTTGCATGAAGCTGGGTGACAGCACGCCCGGGAGACTACAGGCTGTCATTAAGGCAAAGGGTTGCCCGACTAAGTATTGATAGTTGTGTAAATACTGTCATACTAACAGCTGTCTGAATAATTTTTGGTTGATTGTAATCCATTACATACCTTTCTATCAAAGTTATCTAACATTATCAAGCTGAATTTGTTCTGACACAGTTTAACTCCGAGTTCTTGTAATATTTATTACCATTTTCTAAACTATAGCGAATGAACTGTGATAATGTGAGAAATGTTGAAGGTGTCTGAATAAATATTGGTTTGACTGTATCTATTTGATAAATGAAGTTAACCAACTAACATTATACATACTCTTTTGGTTTCTGTACCCAATATTTAAAAAATGTACAAATGCAATAAAAATATTGGTATAGGTACTCGGTATCGGCAAGTACCAAAAATAAAAGTATCGTATCGGGCGAGTGCTGGAAAAAGTGGTATCTGTGCATCCCTAATTCTAGGAGAAGCATCTAAAAACAGACGATATTCTATTAAATCTCCTGAGAACTGAAAAATCAACCTTTGGGCAATAATACATTTTCCCTTTGGTATTCTGCAATCAATCAATCAATCAATATTATCCTCAAATTCAGGCCATCCACGATATGGTCTCAGCCTCAGACGTCACGCCCACGGAACGTTGGCTAAACGTCTTGATCCATATGGTGTAGCGTCTGCGTAGAATCATGCATGATCTTTGGGGTGTTTATGGCTTAAGAGACCCTTTTAGTCTTTTGACATTTGCATATAAAT